TTATAAGCCGATGAAGTAGGAATACCAGATAATTACAGCATACACAAGTAAAGTGAACAAAAAAAAAATAAATAATGATTATTTTTTTTACATGTAACTCAAAATAATAATAATAATAAAATTGACTTGAACGTCAACATGAGAAAATCAATTCAGAAACAAATAAAAGGGTGCGAAAGAGAAACAATGGCACAAAAACAAATATGCATAAAAATCAGAAATGCATTTCATGTAATGACTAAAACTGTAAAACCTGTATTTGTACACAAGCCATTGATGCCCTCATGTCAGCAATACTACCTATGGGAACATCTATGATCTATTTCTGTATGTTGAAATGGTATCCCCTGTGAAATTAGAAACTATTTCCACCAGCCAGCACCTTCTACCTACTATCCAACAATCTAGAAAAAGATGAAATTATCCACTATCTGTTATACCAGAAGTCATCAAGTTCAGCACATCCGCATCCTAACCAACCAACCAACTAGAACCACCAAGCTAATTTCATTCACAAGGAAACACTAAGGTAAACATTCAAACAATATTTTCGAATGCAACTTCAGGTTCTGCACAAGACCTTGACTTCAGACTTGATGCACCAGCTAAGCCTTGAAGTAATGTCAACACATCAGCAGTATCATCCAGATAATACCTAGCTTTGCTAGGCTTTTGGCCAACTGTGCAGGCAAAAATTTCAGGAGCAGAAGAGACAGAGGAACTATAAGCAGTGTTTAATATGCTTTCAAACATGTCTTCATCGGATCTATCATCACCAATGCACAAAACAAAATCGGGAAGTTTCCCTTCAATGATCATTGTCGAAAGAACTTTCTCTGCAACCAAGCCTTTGGTAATTCCCTGGCATGTTTGATATCCACTATTAGCCCTCAGTAGACATGAAAAGGAAGCAGCATAAAAAAAGTGTATGTACCTGTGGTTTGACTTCAACTATTTGCTGCCCTCTCTTTACAACAACAGGCTCATTGGCAAGAACATTTTCAAGATGATCTAAGAGCTCCTTTGCTTGACAAGATCCAAAATTGGGGTCAGCATCTTGATGGTGCCATACTAAGGCACTCTCCTTGGTCTCTATATAGGACCCATCAGTTGCCTCTGTATATAATTTCATCACCGGTTCAGCCATTCTTTTCCAGTCAAAATCTGAAGCCACTGGACTGGTTTCCCAATTAGACTTGCTACTCCACCTACAAAGAAATACAACAGAAAATCTACATTGTAAGGAACTAATATAATCGGTTTCATGCCATTTGTGTATTGCAGCATCTTTCATGAAGTAAAACTGTCAATTCACAAAAGAGTCAAAAAACTAAAGCTCGATAATGTATATGCAACAAAAATCTACCTTACGAAGTATCCGTGCTCAGCTGCAATGCCTAGATTCTCAATTTGAGCAAACCAGTCACTCAGAGAGTTTTTCCCCCTACCACTAACTATAAAGACAGTGTTCTGAGGGTCACTACATAGATTGTTAAGCACTGAGATAACTTCAGGACTCGGGCTTTTAACAATAGACATTTGGGGCACCACCGTCCCATCATAATCCAAAAATATTGCCCTTCTAGATGTCTTCTTATAAGCTGAGATAAGAAGGTCTATGGAGAGCTTCCTGAAACTTGGAGAAAGAGCCAATATCCGAAAACTCATACCAAAACCAATACCCCAGCAGCGTTTACTGTAGTGATCCCTACATGCCCTCTCCAAATCCTGCATAAAACTTTGAGCCCAGTAAGCAACATCATGAGAACTAACATAGCGATAGTGCTTCTCATGCCGCAACTGCTTCTCTAAGTCTGGCATTGAGATGGCAATATTCAATGCATTAGCTACAGCATCAATGTCCCAGGGATTAACCCTGATTGCTCCACTTAGAGATGGAGAACAACCTATAAATTCTGAAACAACAAGCATGCTTGAACGAGGAGACCCAGAGGCTATCTTCAAAGCTTCATCCATTTTGGGTGCCCCATGCCTACAGACAATGTACTTGTATGGGACTAGATTCATCCCATCCCTCACTGCATTTACAATGCAACATTCTGCCAAAGCATAATAGGCAGCCTTTTCATAGAAAGAGACAGGACGATCAATCAGGATCACCGGTTCATAACCTGGAAAACCAAAAGTATCATTTACCCTTCTTGTACTCTCATATGTTTCCCTCTTTGCTTCCTGAACATCTTTCCCAGTGCTCCTGGCAGGATTTATGATTTGAACCAGTACCAGTTTGCCCCGCAACCCTGGACGCTGCTGCAAAAGCTGTTCCAAAGCTGATATCTTTAGACTAATGCCTTTGAATATGTCCATGTCATCAACACCAACAATAACCGTTTTACCCTTAAACTGCTCCTGAATTTCTTTGATTTTAGTAGAAGAAGAGGGGTGACCCAATGCATATTGGAGTCGGCCCATATGAACTCCCACAGGCAAAATTTTAATGTAGACTGTGCGACCAAAATAATCAAGTCCAATGTATCCCCTCTTGGACTCATAGTCCAGACCAAGCATTCTGCTACAACATGAGAGAAAATGACGAGCATAATCAAAAGTATGAAAACCTATCAAGTCTGCATTAAGAAGTGCTCTTAATATTTCATCCCTGACAGGAAGAGTCCGATATATTTCTGATGAAGGGAATGGACTATGGAGGAAAAAGCCCAACTTGACTCGATTGAAACGTTTCCTCAGAAATGTGGGGAGAACCATAAGGTGATAATCATGAACCCACACGTAATCATCTTCAGGATTTATTACCTCCATGACCTTATCAGCAAATATCTTATTAGCAGAAAGATAAGCTTGCCAAAGTGATCTATCAAAGCGATTTCCATAATCAGGACATATAGGTAGCATATAATGGAAAAGGGGCCATAAGTGTTGCTTACAGAACCCATGGTAGAACTTGTTCTGAAGTTCAGGAGTAAGAAATGTGGGCACACAATTAAACTCCTCCAGCAGTTTTCGAGAAACCTCTTCTTGTTCACTTGAATCGACATCAACCTTCAGAGACCCAACATAAACAACACTAGCATCAGAAGAGAACCCATCCTTCAATTGTAATTGAAGTGAATCCTCATCAAAACTAAAGGTCCATCTACCAGATTCCAAGTCTTTTTGAGCATGTAATGGTAAAAAATTTGCCACTATGATTTTCTTTTCCTGGGATTGAGATGAGTGAACATCAGTATCTCCATCATGGAGTCCACCATCTTCATCAGCAATAATACCAGGAACAGTTAAAACTCGCGGAAGTTTTGTAGGAGTCTGAGGGAAATTCAACATATCCCCGGATGCCAAATCCAACAAACTTATGCAGGATCTTGATACCATCATTCCCAGTGCAGTTTTCTACCTATCAACGGATGCAAAAAATTCTTAAAATTTGAACCTGTAGATAGGGAAAATGCATTTTACAATTAGTTAGCTAGATAAAAGTCTGCTTTGAAGTACAAATTTGAGCACAGGTGACATATTAAGAAAAAATAAAAACTACTCCTATCTTTAATGGAAAATAGAAAGAAAAGACCAAAACTCGTCCTTTATCTCACCATGATATCTACAATAAAAAATTTTCTACTAAAAACATAAATATTAAGATTAACTCTACTTGTTAGAGGCAATTCAATTTTCAACAACAAATTTCTGGTTATGTGAAAAAAAGAAATTATCAATGGTGGATATTTTATAACAATTTGGCAAAGGATAGACTTAAGGGTAAGCAGATTAGAGTCATCAGAACATCAAATAATCAGAATAAGAACATTCTGGACAACACAGAATAAAACAAACCAGAAGAGGCTAACAAAAATAGAGGTTAGAATCAATAATGTTTGTAATGATAGATATTAAAACTGTTCTTGAGCCATCATTTATCGGCTTATATTATTAGGCTAAGCAGATCTTGACATGGTACTGGAGTACTGGACCTTGTAAGAGAAAGCTCAAATCCTAAGAGTCATAACTCTTATAATAATTAAACTAAACTTCAACACGAGCAAGCCCTCACCTACCTATCAGATTAAAGATATATTTTGACAGAGGCAGCTGACTTGCAACCAAAAGAATATGAGAGAATTCAACAACAACAAACAAAAAAAAAGAAAAGAAAGAAAGAGAAAAAAACAAACACATACGCACAAGGGGTTGAGGAGTGGAATTGGCAACAAATACAAACCAAATGGTTCATCATCTGCTCTGATTCAATTTCTCAAACATCAACTTCATTTGAGATTAAAGAAAAAAGGAGTATTCTATAACATCTATCAAAATGGAAGGAATGGAGTGATAGGAAATTGAAATGAATAAGATACAAAACAAATGAAAAAGATCATTTTATTGATATAAACCATGTAAGAATCCACATACCTAGTATTTCTCGCCGAGAGCACTCTAGAGAGTCTGCTTAACTGATTTCCACCTCTCCCGGCTTTTATACACAACTAAGGTTCTAATTGATTTCTTAAAAGTTAATGATACAAGTAAGCCTTATGCTGGCAACCAACGAAAAGGAATAACTTCTTAACATATAAGGAAAACAATGTACTATCTATGAATAATGAAATAATCATTTGCCTCTTCAAATCCTTCATTTCCAGTAAAATATTAAGTCACCTTATCTGTCTTCATGCCGGACAGGACTACTACATTTTATTAATGAACAAGATTTTCCAAATTTTGCACTTCATCCTTATCTTATCATTAATGAAATTTTCCCAATAAAACCATAAAAAGAAAATTTTTTCAATTAAAACCTCTGTGTGAAATTCAAAAGATACTCAGAAAACTGTCATACTTTTTAGCAAAACATTAAAGCGCATTGACGCCGGCTTAGCTGTCAAACTAACTATAGACAAAGGAGGAAACTCAGATTATGCAAAGGCCACATGCCAATTCAAGGTACTAACCTTATCTTCACTAATTACACAATTCCTCACACAAAGAAATCAAAAATAATAATAATAAAAAATAAATAAACAAATAAAATAAGAAGCCAATGACAGTAGAAAACACGTATATAGCCATTCATGGGATCACCTTATATTTATTGTTAATAAAATAGTTAAAAACCAAAACTGAAGAGAAAGATAGAAGAAACAGTATTTTCCTCCTCAGCATTCAACTCAATTGAGGTAAAATTTAAGTAGTAGAAATTAAAAGGCTAAAGCAATTTCCGTTACAAAATTTTTAATGTCTCAACCGTTTCATTATACCAATACCAGAAAATTGGACTGGACCAGCTATTAAATTTTGTAAAGCTTAATTTGTTCCAAAGATAAGAACTTTAAACTGAATATTAAAAAATAAAAATAATAAAAATAAAAAAGAAAAGAAAATGAAGAAGAAGTTCCAAACATAATATCCAGGTAAGCTCTATATACCACAATAAAGCAAATGAGTTCTCTTCTGACTAAAGATACAAATAGTTGGATACAGACAATAAAGCTCAAAGTCACAGAAAACCTCTAGATCTCAGAAATCTCATATTTATTCACACATGCAGATCGATAGTATACATACACGTATTGATACAGAAATACAGGAATGTGCCAAAACAATACCTTTGGAAGATGATCCTGGAACAGTACTTTCAGCAAACACCTTCAAAACACTAAAAATTGATTCACCTGCAAACAGAACAAATCATAAGAACAGTCAAGAAAACCAACGTTTGGTTGCTGAGAAAGACATGAACGGCCATGGAAAGCCAAAATACAAAAAACCCATGTCCCCATTATTGCTCCAAAACTTTCCCAGCAACCAAACACGCATGGAACACGAAAAGAATCAAAAGGAAACAGACCTAGAAGCTAAAAAAAGAAATGGGGATGAACTTACAGAGGAGAAAAGTTTGAAGAAACATGAAAGAGATAATTTTGAAGGTGATGTGCAATGGGATAAGGGGAAATTGAGGAAACGTGAGTTAGGTTCGAAACGGATGAAGAACTTTAATGGGGTTTGGAAACCGACCAAATCACCAAAAACAGGGGAGAAAAAATGGAAAGTGAAGATTGAAAAATTGGTTCCGTAAGGTTCTGTTTGGGTTTGGTGTTGTCGATTCAACAAAGGAAGCCGAAGAAACAGACGAAGAATATAATGAATAATGAAAATTATGAAATATAAATAAAAGTCAAAATGAAAACAATACATTCACCGCCCTACTACGTTCCAGTTCCACAGTTCGATTACGAGCCTGGTTGGTCTTACGTTAGAGTCTTGTTCTTCCCTCTTTCCCTATATGCCCCTCTCTGCTTCCCTTCTTTGCGTTCTACCCTTGTCCTCGATTATGTATGAATCATTTTGAAAAACAAAATCAATATCATATATATATATATAACATAATTACAATATATTTATATAAATGTTATTGTAAAATAAAAAATCAATAATAAGATTTAAGATATATCAAATCAATAAAATAAATAAATAAGCATAACCAAAATGGTTGGAACATTCAACAATAATGTGATTTGCAATAATTTTGATTAGGAGTAGCATGGGAAATGGAAAGTTTCCTAAATTTACAAGAAAGAAAGAAATGGATAAAGGGTGAAATGGGTACCTTAGCTCAATTCTGCAAAAAATATATCTAGTCTAGCACAGTGTTGAGTATATCCTAATCTTTTGCAAGGGTGTATTTTGGGGCCCCTTGACCTAGAACTTTAGGTACCAAAAGAAAAGTACTCCGTATTATGACTAATAAACAATATTATCCATGAATGTTGATTTTTCACCCCCCACCAAAATTTCATATAAAATGTTCATAAAATTGACCAATTCTTAATTAAAAAATTTGACAAGAAAACAGAAAGAAATTCCTCACATAAGGATAACCATTGAGTTGGCCCCCACACCCAAAGGCCAAACTCCAAAGTCCTCTCTAAAATATTAAAATATATTTACAGTAATAATGGTTGATATTTATATTCTAGATTACACAATAACAATATAATTTAGATATTGACATTATTAAATTATTATTAAGAATAAGACATAGATTAAAATATAATTTATTTTATTTTTTTATTATTAATTTATATAAAAAATCAAAATTAACTTTAGTTCTATCAAGTATTTAATTAAAATTTGTTACGTAATATTGGTATTGAAAATAAAATTTACTTTCATAATTTTTTATACAAATTAATAATAAAAATGTATAATAAATATACTCTTATGATACAAGTTAAGAAAACTTTATCAATAATGAAATAATTTCATTAAAATTATCTTTGTAAATCCGTAGGCTAAATTGTATTTTTAATGTGTA